TGAATACTCCTTTAAATATCACAATTACATTTAACTGCACATTTAAACTCTCATAATACGTTACGTGCTAGGTGGTGTGGAGAACCTTTCTTTTTTTTAAAGCAATTATGGTAATTTCCCCAAGCCAAACCTTGATTACTAAGTGCCCCCAACTACTGTATCCATTCATATAAATTATGAAAACAATATCATTAATTATGAATCGCACAATGGGCTTTAAACATTCACATCACACTCCAGTTCACAGCACACACTCATTCAATCTTCTGTCACTAATGTGCACTTGTAACACAGGAATCGCATGTTCAAGGCGCACATGCACACTGCATTTTTCTCTCACAATGGATCTGAACAAAGCACCGATGGGCCAATTCCAAATTCATGACCCTTAGAGCTATAAAATGGATGCACAAATATTTTATGGCGGTATAGATGGATACACACGCAAATCCATCACAACACAGATCTGTCAACGTGACAGCAAGATTTCAGCTGGTGTGAAGAGATAGGGAAGAGGATAAGAGCACAAAAGGGAGATTTGGAGAGAGGGAAAAAAGGACTGTGAAGGAAATGTTACAGAAGATGCAAACTAAACCATCAGATCAAAACTAAAAGCATGTTGAATAGGTGGTAGAAGAAAGGATATTTTAGTTACACTAAAAACAAAGCTGGGTTGTTGGGTCAAATATGGACAAACCCAAGCATTGGGTTAAAAAGTATAATTTTGATTTTATTGACAATCCTTTTTATTTTTTTAATCTTTTTCTATTTATTTAAGATTTTATTTAAACAGGCAGCACGGTGGCTTAGTGGTTAGCACTGTCGCCTCATAGCATGGTCACTGGTTCAAGTCCTGGATGGGCCAGTTGGCATTTGTAATTTCTAAATTGGCCCTAGCGTATGAGTGCATATGTGAATGTGTGAGTGTATAGGCGTTTCCCAGTACTGGGCTGCGGCTGAAAGGGCATCTGCTGCATAAAAAATATGCCAGAATAGTTGGTGGTTCATTCCGCTGATAAATAAGGGATTAAGCCGAAGACAATTGAATGAATTAAAAATTTACCAAACATTGGGTTTGTCCATATTTGACCCAACACTGGGTTATAACAACCCAGTATTTATATATGTAAATAGATAAAGAGCTTATTAAGTAAATAAAGTTAGATAATAGGCTAAATTGACAAGTAAATAAACTTAGTGCTGGCAATCTAATATGTTTAGTCTTCATCCACAGAATGGCCTTCAGATAGAAGGCAGATAGACAGACAGACAGACAGACAGACAGACAGACAGACAGACAGACAGACAGACAGACAGACAGACAGACAGATAGATAGATAGATAGATAGATAGATAGATAGATAGATAGATAGATAGATAGATAGATAGATAGATAGATAGATAGATAGATAAGAATGGTAAAGTCTAGATCGGATACGCAGCTGGCTGGAAGTGCGATATGTACATAAATTATAGTAACATGTTTTATGACCCTGTATAACAATAATTAATATTTTTATAGTACTGTAACGGTTGGGTTTAGGGTTGGGGTGGGTGTAGGCGTTAGAAAATACAATTTATTGAGTAATTTATTAGATAGCATAAATACTGTAATACTCGTTACAACTACTGTTTTTATGTTACTGTGATGGTTGGGTTTAGGGTTGGGGTGGGCGTTAATAAAATACAGCAAATGGGAAATTTAATAAATAATAAATAATTCTTGTTAACTTCCAGCCGCAACCATATCCGATCTAGCAACAACCGATAAGAATTTGGTTGGAGGGAGGTGACACAGAAAATTAGAGCCATTAGCACCCCATCTGTGAAGACCACAGGTAAGCCATTGCCTGCTTCAACCTTAGTGGAAATTCAATTAAAAGTGGAGCAGGAAGAGACAGCAGCCATATGTCTCACGCTCAAATGAGTTCACTTTACAATTCAGGATGAATTCGCAGCTCGCCTGACACACCACCAACTCCTGAAACAAAAACACCTGCTTTTCACTTTTATTAAAAAATTAAACACACGAACAGACATAGGAGGACTGTCATCAAGGTCACACTGCCCACGTAGATTGCCATAAATGTCTTCTTCAGTCGTGTATAGAAGCATCTATCTATCTGCCTGTTGTTATCACTTTCTACTCTGGTCTCAAAGGAGGGGGGATTTATCGGCTCACTAAATTAGTCTATTGACTGTCTGATGAGCTTGAGAGAAACTTCCTGTCTGCCTAAAACAACATTTAAAAGACAGCCAGAGTTTAAAAATAAAGCAATACATAAAAATAGGACAAAGGAGATATCTGAAATTCCCTTTTATATCTCCAAGACAGCCTTGAGAGCAAAATATAGACTTTCTTTAAATGTGAAGTGTTTGAGCCAACAGCATTAGAAGTAAAAATAATTATAATAATGTGAACACTCTGTAACACTTATATACTCAGTCTATGCGAGTATTAGTAGACTGTCTCCTTAATATCTGTTGAAATGCTCCTTCAACAGACATTTACCTGACTATAAGAAACTTTGCAAGTACATGTCAACTTAAACTAACCCTAACCGCAACCATAATCTCAACCTAACCATCTACTTATAATCGAATGAGAATTAGTTGGCATGTAGAAGCAATGTTACTTAAATTTAACAAATGGACCATCAAAATAAAGTGACCAAACACTCTTCCTGTATGTCATAGGTCAACATTCAGTATAGCCCAGCCCAAAATATATTGTTTTAGTCAACAAGAAATGGAAGTTGGCGTCCATCACGGTGGCATAGTGGTTAGCACTGCCACCTCACAGAAAGAAAGTCGCTGGTTCAAATCCCGGCTAGACCTTATTGACCCCTGCTAAATAAGGGACTAAGCCGTAGGAAAATTAATAATTGAATGAAATGTAGGTTGTTGTAGTCTTATCATCCCAAATGTGACACAAATCTAAGTAAATAAAAAAGTAGGGCGGAGCATAATTGGATCATTTAATTTTTGCTGTTCAATATTGGTTAATCCTATAAATTTGACACTTTTTCCTGCCTATTTTCCCACCATCACACTAGGAAACATCATCAGAGAAGAGAATTGTTATGCCCCGTGTGGGATTCCACTGGGTGCTTCGCATTCACCCACAGTCCAAAGGCATGCGGTATAGACCATTTTGAGTGATGTAAACAATAACAATGGTCCTAACCTATTTACTGTATTACATTTTTAATTCCCATAGTTTCCAAGAATCCAAAAATGTCCACGTATTGATAATGACAGCTGTTTAAATGTTAAGATACGATTAAATTGCATCTTGTTACGGTTACAAAAGAGTTTGACGACTTGCAGGAAATGTTCATGGGCCCATGACATCCCCACATTGAAATGGTCTATAGGTGAATTGGATAAACTAAATTGGCCGTGGTGTGTGTGTGTGTGTGTGTGTGTGTGTGTGAAAGTGAGAGTGTATGGAAGTTTCCCAGTAATGGGTTGCAACTGGAAGGGCATCCGCTGCGTAAAACATATGCTGGAATAGTTGGTGGTTCATTCCGCTGTGGTGAGCCCAGACAAATAAGAAACTAAGCCGTAGGAAAATGCATGAATGAATGAAATGGAAGTTGTAGTGGTCTTATCTTCCCTAATGTGACACAAATCTAAGTAAATAAGAAAAAGTAGGGCAGGATTTGATTGGATCATTTAAGTCTTGTTGTTTAGTATTGGTTAATCCTATAAGAGTGACACGTTTTTCCCGCCTATTTCCCTTCCTTGGACAAGGAAACGTCATCAGAGAAGAGAAGACACATTTTGTCATTGAAAATAAAGATTTAAAAGAGAAAAGAGATCAATCATTTGAAATAAACTATGAAAATTGAGTTCATCATGACTTTCACATCTTATCTGAACAATTATTTGAGTGACACATTTCTCCTTTTGAGTTTTTAATCTCTCAAATGTCTCATTTCAGAAGAAAGATCTCAGTATCACAGATTTTCTCACATTTTCCACAATGTTACGTCAGAAAAAGTCAGAGATCTCACTTTGAACTCCACCATTCTCATTAAAATCTATCAAGAAGTTATCAGAGCTATTAATATCATAACTCCACCACAGTAGTCTCATTTATGTGTGTCTTAAATCCCTTAAAAGGATACTTATTTGCTCCCAGGGACATTTATTTCAAAGTTGATATTTAGCTGCACCATGCTGGTGTTTCGTAACATCTAAATTTGATGAGGTGGGTTGTTAGCCCATCGCGCAACCTCCAACCTGGAGAACCAGGACATATACACATACCCTACAACCAAGTAAGTGTACCCAATTAAACTATAGCGCATGTGGAATTGTGGGGGAAACAGGAAACCCACATGAACATGGGGAGAACATGCAAACTCCACACAGAAATGCCAACTGACCCAGCCGGGGCTAAAACCAGCGACCTTCTTGCTGTGAGGCGACAGTGCTAACCACTGAGCCAATGTGTCTCAAACATTCTCATCAAATTCAATCAAAAGCAAGTTATGAGCTATTAATATCACAACTCAAGTATAATGGTCTCATTTGTGTGCATCTAAAATCCCTTAAAGGGATAGTTCACCAAAAAAAGCTACATTTTTGCATTTTTTACAGTCTCTTCAGTGATTTTAAGCTAAAAAAATAAAGATATTTTGAAGAACGCTGAAAACCTGTAGCACTCGCAGCCATAGTAAGAAAATCACAGTAAACATTGCTTCACAATATCTTCTTTTGTGTTTAAAAAAACTCATAAAGGTTTAAAAACAAGTAAAGAGTAAGTAAATGATGACAGGATATTCATTTTTAGATGAGCGATCCCTTTGTAAACAAACACTCAATGCAAACTTGCTACTTCCAAGAATCAAAACTGAAGCAGAAAAAAATGTAAATACACAGACTTAAGTACACAACACAATTAAGTATGACTTAAAAAAAAACGACTAACAGATTATCAGCCATCAAAAATGTCAAATATTCATCTAGTCTCTTAACTCTCAGCCGCTTACCAGTCTGTGGTCCAGCTTCCTGTGAGTTCTCCAGCCGGTGAGAAGAAGAGAGCGGCAGAATGGAAGTGATAAAGGAGGAGGACAGGGAGGTGAAGAAAGAGGATGGCAGAAAGGAGGATGGAGAAAAAGTGTCAAATAATGAGGAGGAGTAAAAGAGAGAGAGAGAGAATGACTGATTAATGCGCGTGAAAGACAGATAGAGAATATTATCCCAGTGGGCAGCCCTTGCTGAAGATAAAGTGGCAGAGAGACGGAGAGCTGGGATTGTGTGTGTGTGGTGTACGGACACTGGCAGCGCTCGCTCTCTCTCTCTCTCTCTCTCTCCGTCACTCTGCCAACACTCAACTCCCCCTCCACCCCTTCCTCTATCTCATTGTCAAATAATGGATCGGCATTTAAAGCAAATCAGAACAGGCTCTAAAGAGTTTAACCCTGTGATAATCTCATACATTTAATCAGATCACGAACATTTTTTTGTGTTCGAAATTGTGGAGGAAACATCTAATCTTCTTTGCTTTAATAATGTTTGTTTTTGGAGATGGGGGATTACTTGCATCATTGGTGGTGCTTTTCTAGTCAAGCTTTACTAGACTGAGGGTGCTTAAGTAGCCTAAGTATTTACCTTAATCATCCATAAATGTTCATGCTGAGGTTATAGTAATTTCTATTCATTCATTTAGCAGGTGCTTTCAGCTAAAGCCACTTACAAACAATACAACAAGCAGTTCCTCAGTCAAATGAATCATATAGGTGCTAATAATATACTTGCTACAGTAATTTAAAGAACAAAAACTGCAGCTAAAAAAGTAATATAGTGACTTGTACACAACACATCTAAGTCTCTTATCAATTAAGTGTTTTTAGCTGGCTATTTTTAATAGCTGGATTGCTTACGGGATTGGCAAAACCATTTCACCAGATAGAGACAGTGAATGTAAAGGTTCTGGAAAGCAATTTTGTGCATTTCCAATGCAATCTCATGGCAATTTTTTGATTTAGTGGCTAATTCGTATGAATTTGTACGATCTAATTCGCACAATTTAATAAGATTTGCTGATCACCCAATGTCAGTTGTGGTTAGGGGTGGGGTTGGGTGCCACGCCTCGTTTTTAAAATCGTACATTTTCGTACGACAGAACTAATACAAATTTTAACAAATTAGCCACTAAACTGACAAAACGTAAAATACTTACGTTTCCTCGTGAGATCAGTACGGGCTGGCATTTCCGTAAAATTACCATGAGGCAACACTACTGGATGTAGACGTTTAAGAGCAAGTAGGAAAAAACAACACTCACAAAATTTCATTGTATGATCCCCTATATACACTCAAGAAATATTTAGTTAAACTACTTAGTTAAAATGAGCTGAAACAACACAATTCTTGAGTTTTTTTGGAGGCAACTTATTTATTTTACATTCAATCCATTTAAAGAACTCTATTAAAGTGATCTAAGTGCAAAATCTAAAGCACATGGTGCAAAATCATTAAGGCGCATCTGAATCTACTTTTGCTATTTTAAGGATGGAAAAATACAGTCTGCGCCCTACTGAACTCAAATTAGCCACTAAACTGACAAAATGTAAAATACTTATACTTCCTCGTGACATCAGGCTGCTAATACTATTTTCGGGTCCAAGCTATCACTCGTTTAATTGAGAAAATATTAGTTTATGATCACTTTTTATTCATATCAAACATTAAAGTGAATTTTATATAAAATCATAGTGTATACATCAGTCTCTGGACTTGCTAAATCACAAAATACCAACATTTTAACAATTTCTATAAAAAAAAAAAAAAAATTGTCAACTTCCGGCTATTGAATATTAGGCATGGTTATATATTGCGAACATAATTTTTGAAAGTATTACATAGCTTTCTAAAAGTTTATTTTTACCATTGCCACAGCCATATCACCCTGCAGCCCAAGACCGCTTACTCACTAAGCTAAGCAGGGCTGAGCCTGGTCAGTACCTGAATGGGTGGACCACATGGGAAAAACTAGGTTGCTGTAGGAAGTGGTGTTAGAGAGGCCAGCAGGGGCACTCAACCTGTGGTCTGTGTGAGTCATAAAGCCCCAGTAAAGGTGAAGGGGACACTATACTGTCAGTGGGTGCCGTCTTTTGGATGAGACGTTAAACTGAAGTCCTGACTCTCTGTGGTCATTAAAAATTACATGGCACTTCTTGTAAAGTGTAGGGGTGTAACCCCGATGTCCTGGCCAAAGTGTCTCAATCGGCCCTTGCGATCATGGCCTCCCAATCATCCCCATCCATCGAAT